GGACCTACAAATGCCTTGAGAAGTGTTTTCTCTAGTAATGTCAAAGCCCCCCGGCGCAACTCTGGGTCAACGTCCAGCAGAGATGCATAGGAGGCCCTAGAGATTCCTAGAGAGAAGGTATTAATCAAATCCTCAAATATGTCACCAGAAGGCAAAGCAGCAAATATGGAGGGTCAGCCGTAAGCTAAATACAGCTCAGTATTCAAATCCAACAAGCGTACGTATCCCTTCTTTCTTCCATACTTTTTGCTCAGTTGTGTTTCCTCTTCCTTCCTAATTATGGACTTAATAATACAGGTAGAGTATCCCTTAACCAAAATGTTTGGGACTAGAAATGTTTTGGAATTGTAAAGTTTTTTGGATTGCAGAATATTTGCATATACTTAATGAGATATCTTGCAGATGGCTAAACATGAAATTCATTTATGTTTCATATACACCTTATAAACAAAGCCTGACGATAATTCTCTGCATAATTTTAATAATTTTGTGCATGAAACAAAGCTTGTACGCATTGAACCATCAGAAAGCAAAGGTGTTACCATCTCAGCCCCCCATGTGGACAATTTTGGAATTCTGGATAAAGAAAAAACCTGTCTCTTCATTTTGGAAGGAAAAAAGGGAGGAGGGGGAAGAATATACACAAAAAATACTTTTTAGTGCAAATATTGAGTCACAAATAGTGTTCAATTCAGCAAGCATTGCCGAGATCCCGTGTGGATCATTTTTGGATTTTGCAATATTTCAGATTTCAGGAGACCCAACCTGTAGTATTTATTAATTTGAGAGTTTTAATCTCTTTTATTTCTGTGGGTTTTTGTGAGTGTTTTGGGCTAGTTGGCCATGTTCTAGAAGATTTTATTCCTGATGTTTCACCAGCATCTGTGAAGCAGCAAGTGTCCAAATGGACCTGGGAAGGGAGTGGGGCTGCAGAAAGCCATAGTAGGATGGAAGCAGAGACTCTGGTTGGGTTGAATGTCTCTTTGCCTTGGGATCGAGGTCACTACTATCTGTGTGGCATCACATTCA